AAAAGTTCGACTTGTTGACTTTCCAAAAGGGTGAGTTTTAATCAATTTATTGCTGATTATTATTTTTTTAATTTAACGCAAGTTATGATATATTTCCGGCGATAATTCTGCAAGTTTCTGTACCTAAATTTTTCTTCGAGCTTTTTGAAGTAACTTATTCATTATCAGTAACATTGGTGCCCGTTATTAAATTATGAATTTTTATGCCAATACGGAACTACGATCACTTCTCGTTCATTCTGTGTTAGAATTTCTTTTTGTTAATACGTTATTTGAAAAGGAAATTTACAAATTCCTTAGCCTCTCTCTACAAATAATTATTAGTTTCCATTCTGTTTAAAACAGTAAATGTGCATTCGTCTTTTTACGTTACACATAATTTTCCTACATTCATGCTTCATTCATTCATCTCTTTAAATAACAGACAGATGATAAAAAGTATGATTTCATTTGTTATGTCTTTTTTATTTGCTATTATACGCAGTTTCCTGCGATGCATACCGATTTATTTGTTCGGAGCTTCGTAGTACAATCGCGGCGCGTAACCAACGCTACCGCGGGACCTCTACCGGCTGACTCGCGCGTTGATTAGTCGGGGTTTTTCGTTAACATCTCGTTAACGAAGCCTCGGATTACAGTTTTGCTAAGGAAAAAGTTGTTCCAGTTCACCCCCCGAGTGTCCCATTTCCGGTTCGAGTAAAATTTTTGTTACACCCTGTATAGAGACGAGCGATTTAAGATTAGAAATTAGAGATAAGGCGTGGGATTAAGAATAGGATAAGGAATATGTAAGGGAGAAGGAATATCCCTAAGGGGAACAATAAATGCTTATATATACATATATATTAATGTACAATTAACGGGACAAAAGTATTCGAATTTTTTACGTGATACTTTACCAACTTTATTAGAAAATATGCCATGAAATATCCGCACAAACATCTAGTACCAACATGATGGTTGCCCCGCACATTATGCACATGTAGCAAGGCAAGTGCTGGACAGACAAAAAAAAGGCAGTGCTGGTCCCCAATCGATGGTTCGGTCATGGTGGAGAATTTCTGTGGCCACCAGATCTAACGCCGCTAGACTACTTTTTTTGGGGTACATTAAAAGATATGGTGTATCGTGAATCAACAAGAACACCAGAGAATATGAAAGAACGAATTTGTGAAGCATGCAATATGCTTGCTGTAGAAACAATTCAGAGTGCAGTTTCCTCGTTGATTAATGGATTACATCAGTGTATTAATATGAATGGACACCATTTCGTACACCTACGTTAGTGAATGGAAGAAATCTCACAGAAATCTTTGCTGGTATTGAATCTCCAACTTAATATTACGCACAGACCATTTTTAAGAAATAAAGTGTAATTATTAGTTAATTATTAGGTTTGCGACAAATAAAGGTCGGTACCTTTTTACTCAAAATTAAACGCTCTTCGATATTTTGACATAAGGAATATAGCATTCCATTTTCAAAAACGAAGTTTACTTTCAAATCCCCGAAATGTCTCTCCTTACAAAAAAATATATTTTTACATAATGTACATATGAATTACATAATGTGTCCCTCCAAACCACACAACTTTTCTATAAAAAGTTTTTTCATACAATGCATACTTTAGAAGTTATTCAGGGTGAACAAGTGGTGTGGACCACCCTGTATACATATATGTATATGTATGTATATATATGCTTTCAGTTCATGTTTTCTTTCTAATTTTGCGATCGCTGTCTGAATTCATAGAGCTAAAAAAGCAAATAACATGTAACAAAAACATTTAGAAATAAACTTCAGTATGAAAAAAACAAGCCTGATTTGCGGAAGCGACAAAATTAGTGACACAATTTGAAAGGATTTCGTTCTACCTACGATAAGTACTTACAAATATGCAGTCAATATTAGGATCTACACCACACTAGACGAAAAAATTTCAATACAATTTATTAATTTCATAATTGCCTGAGTATCTACTGATATTACGACAGTTGAACCTGAAGAATCTGATAGTGTTCAACTGTTTCTACTGTTGATCATATTATAAATAATGTTATTCAAAAAAACATCCGCCCATCCCATTCGTATAACGTACATGTGTTTCACACATTTAATCCAAATTATTACTATCTGTGGACACAGCGAAAGAACACATACAACAGTATCGTCCAAAGTCAATAGTTATCTTCCATAAATTTGTTTACAATAAGTTAATACTATTACGGATATCCCCAGAATCTTACCATAAGTTTGAATATGTTACGCAAAAATCAATTTAGACTTTTTAGTTAAATTGGGTGTTTGCATTTTTCTGCTAATTTCAGAAACAACAATGTTCTAAATTGAATTCACCCAAATCTAAAGCATATTAATGAAGATTCATAGTAATATCAGTTACAATTGTGAATTATGATTTTATCATGAATTAATATGTAAAATGTGTCATAAGCTCGAAGTGGGTGATGACTGTTATGAGTATGTGTCCATTACGTGATACATAAATCTCATACAAATTCGTCATCACGGATATGTATTCTATATTGGACTATTAAACAAGGACATTCTGACAACTAGGCCGTGCTATAGCTCCGTTTCAAGTGAAGTTAGAAAAAAATCGTAGAGGAAAATTTTGCCTTGTTGAACAAGTTCAACCGACTCTATTATTTGTTTCACAACTACATCGGCGCATTTGCAAACTGCAATTGCACTTCTTTTTAAATAGAACACTAGAATTTTTTTGGTATAAATTGATTCCTCGTGTTATTCTACGTATAAATGGTAATGTAAGATCATTGAAAACATAACACATTTTTAGATATTTCACTTTATGCACGATTACTATGCTATTGAAATCATCCCGCCACTGTCATATTTACTAATATCGACCTTACATACACATACACAAATTAAACTGAATGTTTCTCTACTAATAACGGAATGTTTAATCGGCACAGTGAGCACCCCTGTCCACAGAAAATCCATATCATAACCCCTTCGCATCGGAGGACGAGATATCTCGCCACGCAATGTCTTTCGTGCGATGCTATGTACGAAATATCTCGCGACACAAATCGTTCATGAGACGCTGTGTACGGAATATCTCGCGAAACAACACCGTTCGCGTGCTGCTTTGAACGAGTATATCTCGCGCTCGCGTTCCCGTTTTTCAATATTTACAACTGAATGTAACTCATCGGTTGCTTTAGACGATGGTATTCCGCTTCTACAATGAGTTCATTACAACAGTTTTCACGTAGCATTCCGTAAGTGTAGTCATCATGTTGCGATGATTTAATAAGAATCACATTATGAAAAAATAAAATCATTAGTTTCTAGAAACAAAACATTTTCTTCATTTGACATTGCTAACCTTTTCTACATTCACATTCACAGTGACCTACGAATTTATTTTGGTACAAATCGTTGGACGAGATATCTCGCGTTGTAATAAAAAGGCATGCGAGATATTCCGTACACAGCGTCGCATGAACGACATTGCGTTGCAAGATATCTCGTCCAAAGCATATCATAAACGAAATCATGTAGCGAGATATCTCATCCTCCGATGCGAAGGGGTTAAAGAAAAACAGACAATCAATTAAGATACAGCATTAGTGTGTGGTGCGGAATTGTAAATCGGTACCTTGTCGGGCCGTACTTTTTCCCTAGTAATACTTTAAAGGGTGAATGGTACTGGAATTTGGTAGAAGTTACGCTGACCAACCTGCCCGCTATTGTTCCTCTACAATTGAGGTACAATTTAAAATACCTTCGACAATTTGTAGCACCGTAAGTGTGGCAGCTCATAATACTTGCATTGCAACTTTTAGATACTTAACGGAAGCTTATAAAAAAAATGTTTCGACATCCGTAACCCAATACCTAGGCCACTACTTTCGCCTGATTTGAATCTTTTTGACTTTTCTGTGAGGTTTTATAAAAAGCAAGGTGTATTCACAACCTGTTGTTTCGATAAATGATTTAAAAGAACGTATTACAAGTAATTTTTTAAATGTGAATACTGAACAACTACACAATGTAATAAAATATGTAAAACAATCTATAGAAAAATAATTAGAATGTAATGGTGCAACGTTTGAATACTTGCTCTAAGTTTTCGAAAAAAATTAAACATCTCATAAAGTGTTGCTTTTTTATAACCTTACCCCCTTTTTAAACGCAGAATAATACGAGGAAGTAACTTATGCAAGAAGTTCTAGAATTCCGATTAAAAAAAAACGTTCAATTGCGGTTTGCAAGTGCAATGATGCACTTGTGAAAAAAATAATACACTCGGGTGATAGAGCTTGCTAACAATGCAAAATTTTCCACCATGATTTGTTTCTATCATTACTTGCAACAGGTCTATAGCCTGGCCCAGTTACTAGAATCACCCTGTATAACATAAGAAAAGACAAAAGTAAATTATTTTCCATATGTATAATATATAAAGTATTAACAAAATTGTGGGACACTTTGATAGGGTGGTTGTAAATGTCAAACAAAGAGGAAAATCAAGAATGACAAAATTACGTTCGAGGTGACGCTTCCGGGTTATTAATTGTTGAAAATGCGGACGAAATACACGTAAAATACGTCTAACACGACGGGTCATCCTCCTCGAGAGGACCGCTGTTCAATTGTTTCACAAGTTGGTTTCATTGATTTCATTTTATTTCATTCATTAGTTACGTTGAGTCGTAGATCGAACCCGTGTATCAGCTGGGAGTCAGCTGTTAGTATAACTGAACGAGCCAAGAATATTTTACGTGGAATTCGCTGTATTTTCAACAGTTAATAACTCGAAAACAAAGCCTCAAACGCAATTTTGTCATTTTTTATTTTCGTCTTACAGTAGTTTGGCATGTATAATCCATCCTGTAAAAGTACCCGACATTTTTATGAACACCCTGTGTAAAGTATAATATAGCGCATAAAATATATAATAATTCCTATTATTTTTAGAATTAATTCCTCTACTATGTACATATGTACAGCAGATACACGGTGCACCAGCAACAACAACAACGTGGTAGCAGAGGTTATCCTGGACAATCGGGAACAAAGGGATTTCGTACTGGTGCCCCTAACTGGTCTTTCATCTTCGACCCTGCAGGACGTCTCTGTTACTACTGGTCAATGGTGGTATCCCTTGCCTTTCTGTACAACTTCTGGGTTATCATCTATAGGTTTGCCTTCCAAGAGATAAATGGTTAGTTTCTACTTGCGCAATTATGTGTTGTAGTTTCTTAACACTAACGCCGTTGACACGTACATACTATAATACATATAGAAATTTATAAATATTCAGTGTTGTCTATTATTACTAAATGCTTATTGTTATTTTCTGTATATTTGTGACATTTTTAAAAATTGAACAGAACTAGTGGTCTTTGTCATTTACAAGATGTTAAGTCCGCAACACAGAGTGCTTGTTTTCTTACAGGATCGCTTGCTTGGAGTTGTGCATGCAGCCGTGCAGGGAGCGGTGCCGGCAAATGACGTCACTGTAGGCTGCCCTGCGAATTTCGCTGCTGAATTTCGTGATTGCTCCTGTGCTATTTTTCCTGCAAGTTTTCTAGCTGGCTTGCATGAATAGCCAATCGCAACACGGCGGGCTGTAACGTTTTGTGGTCTCGTGGTCTCTCACACTCATGCGCTGCATTGCAAGATCATGTAGTCGTTTTTGTTGCTAGGTTAGGTTAACTGTCTCGAGATGGCATTCGTCTTTTAATTAAAAAATTAATCCCGGCCCACACGATACTAATTACGTGGGATATATATGTCCTGTTAGCCTTTTGTTAGTTATAAATCCGAGAACAAGGATTGGGGCATTTTTATTAAACTTATAAGATTGTTCTAATGTAGGTTATTCTGGACGTATTTGAATCATTTTAATTATAATTACTTTCATTTTATTACAATTTTGTGTTGGGTATCGTCAACGCTTTTTTTTGCAACAGCAGTAGTGTACTGACAATGAGTGGCATTTAAAAAGTCTCACCACTACAGGAATAGGAAAGAAAAAATTTTGTTCATACATTTGAATAATGTATAAATAAAGGCCACAACGTTTGTATTATATGTTATGTACTTTTTAGTACAGAAAAGACCCTAACAATGACATATTATTTTAATGTATTAATGAAAAAGTCCCCTTAAACGCCAAAACAGGCGACATGCTTTTTCCAATAGTGCAGCAAGAGGAATACTTACGTTTGAATCGTTTAAGTTTCACCACATAAATCAGTAGGTAATCACAGTTCGAACCAAATAACCAGTATACGTATACTTACTGAGTGCAATTACATACTTTTTAACATAGATAAAACAATTTTAGCCTTGTCTTTTCGCAACAGCCAAGACCGACTCCACAATCTTGTTATTATAGTTGTGGAAAGAAATTTTCAAAATTTGTTCTTTCAAATTCCTGTAGTGGTGTGACTTTTTAGATGCCACTCATTGTCAGTACATTACTGCTGTTGCAAAAAAAGCGTTGACGATACCCAACACAAAACTGCATTAAAATGGAAGTAATTATAATTAAAATGATTCAAATACGTCCAGAATAACCTACATTAGAACAATCTTATTAATTGTGGAGTTAAAATTCGTCATTACAATCTATAAGTTTAATAAAAAGGCTCCAGACCCTGTTCTCGGATTTGTAGCTCACAAAATGCTAACAGGACATATATATCCGACGTATTTGTTTTTTAAATACAGAAAATGGAAAAAATAAATATCGTATGCGGCGAGATTAATGTTTTAATTAAACATTTAATTTGATCTCTAGAAAGTTAACCTAACCTAGTAACAAAAAAGGCTCCATGATCTCGTAGTAATGCAGCGCATGAGTATGAGAGACGACGAGATCACATCACGTGAGAGCCAGCTTTGTTGCAATTGGTTATTCATGCGAGCCAGCTAGAAAACTTGCAGGAAAAATAGCACGGCAGCAATCACGAAATCCAGCAGCGAAACTTGCAGGGTAGCCTGCAGTGACGTCATTTGCCAACACCGCTTCCTGCACAGCTGCATGCACAGCTCCAAGCAAGCGAGCCTACAAAAAAACAAGCAACGTGTGCTGCGGGCTTTACACAACCATGAAACTTAACTCATAGAAATTTTGTTGTTTTGAAGGTACATGCAGGGTGTTCGACATGAGGTTAAAAGAGGTTTAAGGAGTGATTCTACTTGGAAAATAACACTAAAAATAATTCTAAAGAAACTGCGGTAAATGCTTTGTTTTTTAATTATAAGTGTTTAAAAATATTCCTGAATGATGGAAACCCTCACATTTCGGGCATACATAGGGGAGCCTGCGAGTCATTTGACAAAACCATAGAGTTACTGTGAATGGGTACGACGTGATTCATAAAAGTTTTTACAAAAGTTCTGTCTGCAGTATTTAATTAAAATCCATTTATACAATGTAACAATGTAGTTGATAAACTGTTGCATTGCATGAAACCTCGAACCACGAACGCTCGACAGAAACAAGTGTTGCGAATGCCAGGTTATTTTAACCCATGATAAGAGTTTCGCAGTATGTGTATATTTTGGTACAGAGGCATTGTAGTACATTATAGACTTTCTACTTTCTAAAAATGTTTTGTTAAATAATAATGATAAGGAACAATATACCGGGTGTAACAAAAATGTTGGTGGACCCGGAAATGGGAGACTCGTGAGGTGATTTGAAACAAGTTTTTCTTTTGCAAAAATGTTATCCGAGGCTTTGTTAACGAGATATTAACGAAAAACCCCAACCAATCAGAACGCGAGTCTGCCGGCTGAGTTCCCTCGGTAACGTTGGCTATCAATCGCAGCGCGTAGCCATGCTACCGCGGGAACTCGGATCTGTGAATTTTATGCAATAATCAATCAAATGTAATAGTTGATCGTCCATGTTGTTACAATGTATCACTGGATTCTAATGAAGTGCAGCAGACAGATTTTTCGAACCTTCTACGAGGTAAGTATGTGGATACCTATTATAATGGCGCGTCGTTCGTTTTCATTGTGACTATACCCTCACGAGCAAACTCGGCTTCCGCTAAAGGCAAAAGTGGCGTAGGGATCAGCCGCCTACCGCTTAGTAAATTTATTTCAAGTACTGAAATAAATATTAAATCGAATGTTAATTTGACATAAATTTCAATAATTCCCGATATCAAGTTGTAGGAGACCCCTCTCCTGCGCCACTTTATCCCCCAGCGGAAGTCGAGTTAGCTCGTGAGGGTACGGTCCGGTATAAAGCTGCCCTACGTAAGCCCAAGATGTACGCATTGCCGTCATTTAGGGGTGTTGTTAAACGTTTATGAATAAAACACGAAGCATTTACCGCAATTTCTTTCTTCCTTTCTTAGTCTCATTTTGATCTGTAGAATCCACGTTCCAGATATTTTCTATCTGTTGTCGAACACCCTGTGCATGAACTACAATTATTGATACATTATTTGTAACTTTATATCATTTTATTGGGTAAATATTTAGAATAGGGGAAGCAGCTCCGACGACCTTGACTTTGACGTATGTTGGTAAGGTCACCCTCTTCAATGACCTTCAGAAGGTTTCAGCCGTCGCTCGTTTTTTATTTAGTCAAGTTCATTGTAGTCAAAGTCATTGAAGCCCTTCAGTAGTCAAAATATCAGCTATATTTTGCAGATTTTTTTGTTTATGACTTTTTAATGAAAAATGAGCAACGGCTAACCATTTCTGAAGACCATTGAGGAGGGTGCCCTTGATAACATATGTCAAAATCAAGGTCACCAGAGCTGACTCCACCATTCTAAATATTTACCCAACAAAAATTTTGTATTATCCTATAAGTCAGATTAATTTCTACAGTATTGAATTCAGAATCAGTACATATATCATTACAATAGTTTATAATATAGCACTAAGTATACTGCAGTGGAACTTTCCGCAAAAATAAAGTACAGGGTATTGTAGAGATTCTTTTATTCATAGATTTCAATAACATAAGTGTGGTCCACATAAAGTATTACTAGGGATTTTTTCGAAAATTACTAACTACTGAAGCAAATTCTTGTTTTATTGTTCTATGGACGAATAAGACACATTATCTAATGCAGAGAACACTGGCGTCAAATAGATTTTGATAATTTGCGAAGTTATAGAAATATATTAGTTTCTGTCCCTATAATACAACGCTTCATTCATATATGTAATGCTATTAAGGGGGAGACACCTTCGGGGCCAACTCCGAGTCGATCGAAGCGTTGATGTAAACAATCGGACGCTAGTGAAAGTACGTACATAATCGATAACTAGAGCTGTAGCGTTGAGGGACGCTAGGGATATTATGTCCCAGCTACTGTAGCACAGAGGTTAATCAATGATGCCATATGTATAGAACAAAGTCTTTATTAGAGTCCAGCACGTGAACATGCTGTAGCGACAGCGAACAAGATGGATCTGCCGCAGTCAGGCGGCAACGCGATGCACACGCCTCTTTCTCCTCGCGGGAGAAGGAGACACTACGGAGGGAGAGAGACGGCAGTATCCGCTTCCTACACACTCCACCCCGAATGTATAGACTACCTAGATGGGCACGCGTGCTGTCCTAAATACAGGGTGTCTGAAAAATGTCTCTCTTCCGCGAAATGAGGGATTTCTGAGATGATTTGATACCACTTTTTCCTTAGCGAAAATGTTATCTTAGGCTTTGTTAATGAGATATTAACGAAAAACCCCGACCAATCAGAGCGCCAGTTTGCCAGCCGAGTTCCCGTGCTAGCGGTGGCTATGCGCTACGCTTGTAATATGCATCCCAGGAAACCGCGTATAATACCAAATAAGAAAAACATAACAAATCGAACTTTTTATCATCTTTCGTTTGTCATTTAAAGTGATGAATGGATGAAACATAAATTTAAGAAAAACATGTGCAACATAAAAAGACTAATACACAATTATTTTTTTAAACAGAATCTTTAGAAAGCCCGAAGAAAAATGTAGGTACGGAAACTTGCAGAATTATTGCCGGGAAAAAGTCATATGTAGCTTGCGGTAAATTAAAAAAATAATAATCAACAATAAATTGAATAGAACTCACTATTTCGGAAATTCACCTGCAGCTTGCAGACCTGTGACACTAGGTCACTCTACCGATCCTGGTCATCGACGACCGAAACGGATGATGACAGGGTATCGCCCAGTCCGCAGGTGATCGCAGGTATACCT